GATATTCACTTAATAGCTCTAAACAGCTTTTAACTGCTTCTACATATGACTGAGAGGAGATTTGTTTCAAGCATAATCCACAACAGTGTCTGTATAGGAGCTTTTTCTGATAGTGGACAGCTTCTGTGGCTCACTTCAACATCATAAATGTTTTAGATTAAAAAGCTACAGCTGTGATGTAGCTCAAATAAACCCTTTGCCCTTGCTGTGGTGCAGAGAGGAAGGGAGTGTTGGGAGTCACGGATTACCTCCTTTTCCAGGATGGGTGATTCATTTCCTTGTCTTAAAAGGTAACAAGTGATCTCTGTCACTTTCAGAACAGTTCCCATGAAATGGTTGCTGCGTGTAAAATGGAGGGCTGCCCTGTGAAATGAAAACACACAGACAGCTGATGGTTGTAATTTCGAAAAGGAGAGATATAAAAAGGTCACACTGATGTTGACAGCAGGTCCCTTTGGGCCCGGTAATGCTGAAGGTTGGATTTTTGTATGGGCTCTGGAGGGAACATCTCTATGAGCCAGACGTTTTTGGCCAAACACAGTTTAAAGCTGACAGTATAATCCAAATGAACATGAATTTTGTGTCCAATCAAAGGCTGTTTCAACTGCTATTCATTACAATGCTGCATTTAGTATTGAACCTTAATACTCTATGTAGCACTAGGCACTGGCTACTGTTAATATGGAATTCTTGGTCAGATTTTTAGTCTAACGTCCCAGGTATTTCCCTTGAGTGGAATTTAGGCAATTTAGACTATTTTATTAAGGCTAAGTTTGAGAGGTTTACAGGGTTTTGGTAAATGAAAAGAATAGTTTGTGGAAAAACTTGTTTATATTTCCTCAAAGGGGCTGTTGCTCTAACCTGAAGGGCAACCCTGATTAATGGTATGTCTAATGGAATACACTGTGAATAAAAATAATAAATAATAAAAATTGGAACAATGCGCAGCTTGTCACATTGATAAGTCAAGTCACGCACTCATGTTTTATATCATACAGACTACAGGATCTGCATGCACCCTGCTGCCTATGTTAGCCAGCTAACATAAATAAATTCTAACATGCAATTCATCCTGATGGGAACATGAATGCCTGTACAAAACTTAATGGGAATCCATCCAGTAGATATAAAGACATTTTATTTAAAACCACAAATGTCAGCCTCATGTCCGTAACAAATTTCATGGCAATTCATCCAATAATTGTTGAGACATTTCAGTCTGGACCAAAGTGGTGGACTGACTGACAGACATGCTATGATGCAGGACTATGTGTACTGTGTACATAGTCCTGCATCAGGGCTACTCTGTGTTACATAAAAAAGAAAAATAAAACTGAGAATGAGGACATTACAAAATTTGAAATTACAGTATTACAACTGAGATTTAAAAAGAGTTGTGATAAATCTGGAGGATGCTGCTGAACTGGATTGGGAGTAGCTGACTGTTGAGTACCTCAACGTACACCCCCTCTCTTTCCCTACAGTATCTCTGCTGATGTCTACTGTATTCTCAGTGGTCGACTTCAAAAGGAGGCCTAGAAATAAAAAGTGAGAATGAGTGGGGAGAGATGATAATGTGCACTGACTCGCATTACAAATTTAAGCACGTACGCTTAAAGAGATTTCTGGTCAATCTTTATTACAGTACTGAAGAGGTAGGGTGAGGACTTTATAAAGACTGTGTCCTCTACTTGGCCTTTTATATGAGATAAAACTGGATCCAAGCAGTACCAATGATTGTAAGTATCCAACAGAACAACTGTCTACATGATACCTAATAACTGCGTTTATTGTAGACAGCTGTTCCTGCCTATTAAAGTTAACTTCTCTCTCTTCTCTACTGAAACTAGAAGTTGTCTGTAGTCAAATGCTAAACGAGTTTCTATTGTTCCTGTTACAGCCATACTACTAGTATAATAACTAGCTTAAAACATATAATAAAGTTGTTAATACCAATACTTTCATTTTTGAACACTGTAAATGCTCAGGGCACAGTAATGACAGACTTTACTGTGCAGATCGACAAAACCCATCTGTTTTACCATGCTGTGCAATAGTGTGTCAGATGAGATAAAACACTGCATATTACAACACAGACAGGTTCTGTTGGCAATGATAAAATGTAGGTACAAGTTCATAATGAAGAAACTTACTTGAAAATCACACTTGCGTCTTTAAGATCAACAAAAATGTGCCAGTGTGACTTCCTCTCTGTGACTTCCAAACAGGGCACAAGGAGGCCGAGAGACAACCTCATTTCCAGTTACAAGGCTAGTTGAGATGTGGTTGAAAGCTTCAGGAAAAGTGAGTTCAGATATGTTTTTTTCAAAACTATTGTTACCTAAGTCAAGAACTAAAGCAACATTATGTAACTTTTCTACCTTAAAATAACAGCTTCAAAATCATTTTGATCCTACACGGAGTTGTAATAGGGTGAATGGTGTCTCGGTCGTTCCAACTCTGCACCATGCACGCCTGTTTTTGCACGATGTAACTCAGTGCTCCGGGTCAGGAGAGGTGCTTTATGGCACTAAGTCACACACCACCAACTATGTCACTGGTTTTGGTGAAACTGGATCATATATTATGGAGAAACAGTTGGCTCTAGAAAACAAAAACAACAACACCAATAAAAAGTAAATGCTTAAAGCATCACAAACAGTATGTGTTACAAGGCTTCACTACAGGTCTAATAATCTGGTAACTCGGCCATGTGTTGGCTTTAACACGTGAGCAGCCTACATTATGTAAGCAAGTTACTACCTAAAGTTACTGTTTGCTTGTCACTACACAGTCTCAAATCACCAATCTAATGCTTGTAAGGACCACAGACCTCAATTATTCATTTAATTAGTGACTTACAGCCTGCTGGAAGTAATTTTATGCCGCTGTGCTGACAGGACAGTTGGGACAACGAAGGACTTTCCCATCACACTGCGGCTCAGTTTTAGCACTTCATGTGTGAAAAGGATAATCATGTAGGTCAGGAACTTGGCTTTTGAAGGGCAAAAACTATTTTCCACCTTTTGTATTTACAAAGCTTCATCTCGCTCTTGCAGGGGAGACACAGAGGACACCCAAGGGTGCATTCATTCAGGTAAAAGCCCAAAGCTTGGCGGCTGCTGCCAAGACCACAGCTAAATAATGAGGCTCGAGTGGAGCAGCATTAGGGCGATAACCAAGCATCCAATAAATTATGAGTTATGTGACACAAGGGTGCTATCACCAATACCACCGTTTCACCAGCGCAACAAGGAATGATCCCACACAGCTTCATGCAATTACATGCCTGTTATTGTTGATTCAGCTCTCAGACCATGAAAGCTTTTACATTTGTTGTTGTTCTCTTGCTATTTTTGGTATTTCTAGGAAACATTTCTAGTGTATAGAAAATGGTGTTGTTTGGTGAAGAACAGGTTGTTTGTTTGAAAATGTACTTCATGTCCATGGTGGCCATTTTTAGATATTTATGATACTCAATTTGAAATTCCACATAACACATACAGACTGTGCACTTCTAGTAAATTTTATCCAGTGAGAAAAAAATAACATAAAATCAGACTACTGACTAATAAAATAGATAAAACAACACTAAAACTATAAACAAAACAGATTTTTTTTTGGAAGCAAGCACACGTCTAATTGCAGATGTTCACCAGATACACTGGCTTCATCAGGTTTGCACATCCAATGCTTTCCGTTAGTGTTTCAGAAGCTCTTCAGCCAATCTAACATTTTTGTAAACACTAAATATTATTTTTAGTAAATGTAGGCTTTTATACACAAGTAAATTTCATGCTTCAGAGACGAAAGATTCTCCAGCAAAAATTGACCTGGCAGCTTAAATAGAAGAAGCTATGTATGAGACACTATGTCAGCTAAAAGAACCGAAGCTGACTAAAATAAGATGAATAAGAAAAGGTTTCGTCTATCCTTGAAAAACACTAGTGAGCACGTCAAAGCTTCAAAAAGCTACAGATGTAGTTTTCTCTGAACATTTTCTGGGTCAGCTATATGTTAATATCTGTGAGTTTTACAGTTCAAAAGCTTTTTTGCCTATTTTGCAAAAACAATTTTCAAATTATGTTCTGGTAAACAGGAACAAAAACTGCCATCACAGTGGATAGGATTAGATTTTATAAAAAAGGCACAATGCCAATTCAATACAGACATGACTAAATCTAATAATGGCTATTGAAAACAGAAGAACAATCCAATGCAACTCTCACACCCCCAACTGCATGCTACAGGCAACAACAATAGTGACATTTTTTTATTGTTCCTCATTAAAATGAAGAAAGAACTGAAAGCATTTTCAGGTCATTTGATTACATTTTCCAAACCCCGAAGCTCTTCATAGAAGGTTATTTTGGTCAGCTTAGATTTTAAAAAGGGTTTTGAAAAAAACACAATAGTTAAAATGAAGAAAACTAAAAATCTAACTATTCAAGGGTTTGTGTTAGGTGAGAAGAATCAGCGCGTATCTAAAATAACCAGACCACCAGTGTGGACAAGTGTGGGCTGCCTTGACTTTGATACAACCTATAACTTTCAAGCTTTCTGTGGCGTGCGGTGCTAAATGATTATAGAAACGTGACAAGAAAATCCATTAAAACACTTTGGAGTTGAGCCAAAGTAGCCGGCTCAGAGCTGAAACTGCTGCATGTCGTCATTCTTTACCAGAACATGAACGCTGATATCCTGAAACCTCTCTTCACAGCCACCACAGTCTGGTGATGGGAGTTAATCATGGTCACAAATACTGATTAGACCATCCTGGACCAAACATTGATCAAACTGTCTAGGACCAAAGATATCGATCAGATGGTTTTGGCCCTGTCTTAACTATCCTGGATGATGAATATAAGATTAATTACCTTTTACACTGACTAGTGTTTCCTCTTAATAAGTGCTGACATATTTCTACTTTATACATTGCCTTAAAATCAATAGTCACAGTGTCTTTGAAGGAAGATATATAAAATGACATAACGATACCATCTTTGAAAAAAAAAAAGTAACTTTAATTTCTCATTTGACAAGACAACAACACTACTGAGAGATAAAAAACAATTAGATAAGTATGAATTTGAAATACATTTTGCTCATGCTAAACCAGAAAAGTAAAAATACAGACGGGTAAATGCTGAATGTGTTGATGCTACCAGGAGCTGAAGTCTCCGAAGCTGGTCTTGCCTTTGGACTTCTTGGCCACTGCTCCGCTGGTGGACGGCCCATTTTCCTCTTCAGCAGCTGGACGTTTTCTGAGGGAGAAGAATACATACACACACATATATATAAATATCATAATCAGCTGTTTTCCCACAGATGTGTGCCTCTAGTTTCTTGGGTTTCTCTGATCTGTTCATCCTTTTGCCCGAGTTCTCTCTTTTCTCTTTGTAGATGTTGTTGTTTCTTCCTTTGTATAAAGTATACAGGCCTTTTATGTTTTATTCTTCTCTTTCCTGGAGGTGAAACTATAATGTGGGCAAGTCTTCAACATTTTTTGCTTATTTCTTTGTGGTCTGACAAGGTCATAGATGAATTTGCATAAGAGAGAGGATGCTTCAGACAGGCTGTACAAAAACAGGTTTTTTCCTTCAATCAGACATCCACATGAGCCCTCCCCATTACTTGTTATGAATCTGACCTTTAGGACTGCAACTAATAATATATATATTTTTCATTATCAATTAATCTGTCAATTATTTTCTCAATTAACTGAATCAAAGGTGAGAAAAAAGTACAAAAAATGTCTATCACAGTTTCCAAAAGTCCAAGGAGAAGTCTTCAAATGACCAAACGTCCAAAAAGATTATAAAGATCTAAAAAGAAGAAAAGCTAATTGCTGGAGGTATTTTTCCTTAAAAGGACCAAAACAATTAATTACCATATGGTTGCAGATTAATTTCCAATGAATCAATTGACTAGTTGGTCAACCAACTCAAATGTAAACACATTACCTAAACATTATATCTAAACTTAGAGCTGATATGTTCAATATTTTTACATGAGCAACAGATCAAATGACATAACTGACATCATTTTACTTCGCTGAACATGAATCTAAAATCTAGATTTTCAAACTGGAAAAACATCTGAAATATCTGGATAAATATCTCTCCAACAAAATCAGCTTCCATACTCTCTACGCCTTTAACTGCCTGATGTTTCCTCACAAGACATTTCTTCTGCTCTCTGTTGTTTAGTGTTGAGCAAGTAGCTACACTCGGCTTGTTTGAGCTTGTTTGTGTAAACCGCTGCCTATGGTTTTATGTGGGGGGGGTTGGTGAGAGTGGTGAGACGCATTCATAGAGTCAACAAGCAGTTGAAAAACTAAAAGAATTAGCTGAGAGTGGATAAAATATGTATAGATTTTAATTAAATGTCAAATCTAAAAACAAACAAACTTTGATGTAGGATTAGTAAGAGTTTTTTATGACATTTATAAAATGTAAAAAAAAATAATATATATTTCATGCCACAATTTAAACCCAGAAACAAGGTTAAAATGACTGTAATCACACAGCCTGACATATGATCTTCCAGTGTATTCTTTCAAACAATAGATAATTTCTAGTCATGCATAAACCATTTTAAAGCACAATACTATTTTAGATAAACATTATGTATGTCATTCCCACCCTGTGTTTCTCTATTGAGCAGAATCTTACTGGAAATGCTAAAATGAACAAGCATTTTCCCCCACTGACAAACCCCTAAAAAGACCATTAATGAGTGCTGAAACACACCACGTGTCACTTTTACATTTAACTGTCTGGAGAAATGGACGACCTGTTATTTGGGAGCATTAGTAGTGACATGCTCTGCATAAATCTAAATATGAGAACATGATGTGATGACAGGAGTGGGATAAAATGGGTAAATTCTGAAGATAAAATGTCATCAAAGAGAGAAAAATCATGAGAATAATTATCTATTAATATGCACTTTAGCCAAAGTACAACATTTTCAGTTCAGTTAATGCACTTATAATTGAGTAATTTCAGTATCCCACAAATGGTACTGGGTTATACATTGTGTAAAGTGTCTTAGATGTAACTTCTTCATTTTTCTTCCCTTCACTGACATTTTCATTCAAATTCTGCCTGTTTGTAAATATGCAGCTTTTTATATACGTCAGCGATGCCTATGGATGAGTCACTGCTAAAAGCAGAGGCAGAGAGAAGAGGGTAGTTTGCTGAATAGTAAATCAGTATGCAAGTGTGTGATTCCTTACGTTGTGGCAGGGTTGATGTATTTCCCTACACCTGCTTTGAAGGTCTTTGGTGCCTGCTCCTCCTTGGCTTTCTTCAGGGCAATGCTGGTTTGCTGCTTCTCCTCCTCCTGCTCCTGAAGCTCCTTTTCTCGCTCTGCTGCAATCTGAAAAACACAAATCATGTAAATCCCCACAACTACATACATATCAGATCAGAGGATACAGTGGCAGTGAAGTGGCGCTCACACCACAGAACTTTATGATCAGTAACTGTTACTCCCATGTTGTCGCTCACTGTGCAATCTGTGTTTAAAAAGGCAAGTGGGACAACGAGATCCAGTGGACAGTTTTCCTAAGACCATGACCTAAAAAGGTAAAGTGTCCAGCTTTAATTTCAGGGTAACCAGTGTAGTCATTTTAGGCCTACTGCTGCCCTGTTATAGCATGCATTAGCAATACAGTTATTTTAATCTGTAACTGTTTTCTCAATTTAATCAATTGAAAATTTACTTCATCACAATATTGTTGACCTAATATTGACAACCTCAAGACACCCTACAAGCTGTTGTTTACCTCAGTCACTGTTTCAATTCAATATGTTGGTGTGAAGAACCACAACGATGAAAAATGTGTCCAAAAAAACTGTCAAATACTTAGACAGTACTACTATGTGGATGTATACCTGAAAGGAACCTTGGTTCACTCTGTGTTTTATCATAAAGTCAGTATTGTTCATGTATGCAAACACACAGAGAGACACACAAACCTGAGCATCAGCCTCTTCGTATGGGTCCACGAACACAGTCGCACTTATGATCTTGATCTCCGACTGTAAAACAGAGTCAAAATTAATTCAAGTCAAGTTTTAACTTTAACTTACTAACATTAATATAAACTTAAAATAATGTAGCTGCATTTGTTGTAAGTTCTTTTTTTTTTTTTTTTTACAAGTTATTTGTCATTTAGAATAACAGAATGACACTGCTGCTTCGCAAAAACTGAATTTAGTCCCTCATTGTCATTGCTATTTCATGTCTCTCTGGCCCCTGCTGCATTTCTTGTCTTAATACCTGACCTTTAGAAGATCCATGTAAGGGTCAAACTGACATTATGGCTGAGTCTCGCATTCCTCAGCTGCTGTTAATGTTAGCGATCTAGGAACTTAAACTGATTCTATTCATTTGCACTGGACAGGGATTTCAGCAACATTTCAACATAGTAAATTGAAATGTAATTTGACCCAAAAAAACAATCTGTGGAGGGATATTTCTTAAAATTCCAGTGAGTAAACTCATACATTTCAAAGTAAAATTAAATTATGTTTAAGCCAATCAAGACCTTGAACATCAGTAATTCCTACCTTTGGTTTGTCTGTTTTGGGATCACTCTCCACATTTTCCATGGCTGTTAGAGTCTCAAAGCCACCAACAATCCTGCAAAAGAGATGAACACAACACATGATCCACATCCTTGATTTGAAAAATCCTCCATACATCTTGGTGGGAGCAAAAGAGAGCTGGGCTCCCCACACAGGTCTCAGATCACACTGATCTGAGACAGGGACGATAAAACAAGGGCAGCATATCCCCTCACAACAAAATACTGAAAAATAAAACAACTATTGGAGACTTTCAAAATGACTTATCCTATGTAAAGACTGATGTGCTCCATCACGACTCGAGGGCTGTAGGGTGGTTTTGAGGAAGAAACTAAGTTTAAATCCCTGTGACACCATCCATCCTGCTGAAGTGTCCTCAAGCCATCTCAACCTGTAGCTTTCATTTTTCACAAAAGTGAACATGAGTTGCTGTTCAAAGCAAATGATTATAGTCTGTGTTATCAGCACACTGGCTTCATGTTGTAAACACAGAAGAAAAAAAGAACCGAAGATATAGAGTCAAATGCTAAGGGCCAAGAGGCGATCTGTTAGCGACTCCCCTGGTGCCGAGCACTTTAAGAAGTTGCTCTTACTTTGCTCTTTATCCAAAGTCTTTATCCAGCTGCTCCTGTGGGGGCTTCCTGTCACCATGTAGAGAGTGAGAAGACATGTACACCCAATAGCAAGCAAGGAGTGCTTCTCGGGCCACATGTGCACGGCTTCCACATGTTCAGATGAACAGAGGAGCTCCCACACGACATGACTCACTGACCTCCCAATATCAGGCAAAACTATCTATTAGTACAAAACTATTTTGGTTTCTTTTCATGCCAAGAATCAACCAATACATTTGCTTCTCCCATCTGAAGCCTCTTTCTCACATTCACTGTAACATCTAAATGGTGTGGCCATTTTCCAATGTCATATAAAACATTCAAGCAGTTTCCAGGTCAGGAAATGGTAAAAATATTGATCACAGATTTGGTTAGAACAAAAGCAGCAATACTGCCACATAGATCACACAACAGATAACAGAACTGTGACCTAAGACATTTCACGTTTAACTATTTATCAAGACAGCTTTATTTCTGGTACTAAAATGTACAGTAAGGGTCTGCAATATGGATAAAAAGCCATTCCACTACAAAACAACAACGTACAAAGAAACATCATTAAGACAGCCTGTGTGAGGATTAAGGTTTTTTACAGTGCTGTCACTTGAGATGAGAAGGAAAAATACAGACAATAAATCTGTATTTTTAAAATAAATTCTAATACCCCTGGTCCTAAGGGAGCATTTAAACTTATAGGTTCAAAGTTGAACTACCTGGCTGTGGCCACATCTCATAAACCAGACAATTGAACCCCAAAACAGCCCAGTCTGATTTTCATCTTAGCAGAAGTGTCCTCTGTGAAAGAGTTCACATCAAGATCAGGTTAAGTGAACTGACATTGCCAGTCCCATTAAATGTGCAAAGACTGCAGTCAGGAAAGGATAAAGAGCTGGACGCCCGGTTGAAGCAGAAGCTTTTTAAGTGTGTTGACCATGTGAAGAATCAGTCAGTTGAAAGCAGTCTGAATATTTTTAGACAGCAGCCAGGGCTTTCTCCAAGAAGACAACCATTTAAGATCCTCAGCTCGGCAGAGAGAGAGAGAGAGAGACACAGCAATCAGTTTAAAGTAAGCATCTACTAAATTTTTCACAGCTCTTGGCCAGGAGTCAGACTGGAAGTCACAATATTGTTGGTAGTGTCTGGAGCTCTAAAGGAAGCAAATATGTATTAAAGAATAATATCAGAGAGTGACAAAGAGAGACAGGGATTGAAGAGAAGATTAAGAGGAAGACGACAAGAAAAATAAAGAAGAAGAAGAGAAAGAAAGAGCTAAAAAGAAGATGACCCAACTGTTTGTGTAAGTGGCTCTGAGCATTAGGCAAGTGTTTGTCACAATGTTCACCTTTCAAAGCCATCTGCCTCAGCTGTTACACAAAACACTGTCAGCCTGTAAGGCACAGTGGAGTCAATTTGAAAACATGAAAAGAATAGACGGTCTACCTTCCAAATACTGTGTGCTTCCTGTCGAGGTAGGTGCACGACCGGAACGTGATGAAGCTGAGAGAAAACAGAACAAAAACAACAAAACATCAAAAATCTAAGAAATGTTAGGTTCAGTAAATTAATATGTGAAAGAGATTGGAAGTATTGGAAACAAACAAAAAATCTAAAAGGGAGCCTTGAAGTAGATGCAGAAGCCATGTCTGTTTACATAACTACTTTAGTTTGACTAAATACACAAAATAAACTTTATAAACAATGATAAACAGAACATTTACAGATTTTTCATCACAAAAGCTCCATCAATCAAAAGGTAATCATATCAAATGATATAATAAATAGTCTAACATATTAATGTGGTTATAAGCATATATCATCACAATTTTAGGTGTTTATTAAATATTCTGTTTTGTGTGAAGGATTTAGTGGCATCTAGCAGTGAAAACATAACTATCATAGTTATGTTTTCACCTGTGAACAGAACATGTTTTCTTCGCAGAGAGGAATTGTTCAAATTGACTTTTTAATGAAAGAAATGCAAAAAAAGCCATAATACATAAAAAGCTCATCTGCACATTCTATATATGGTATTAATTCTGCCAGCATTGCATTTTTCTTTTTTATTCCCCTAGTGGGCCTCAGCAAAGAAATCAAAGGACGGAAGGGATAGAAAAAACAAAACATAATTCTCTGTTGACTGACTTTCTAGCACAGAGCAGCTGTTCAAAGTTTAGGAAAAACTGCTTTTAAGAAACATTTCTTACAACTGGGACTTGTTGGTGTTTGGACCAGAGTTTGCCATACTGAGAACCCCCCGGCCGGTATGGGACAGGTTGGGCCGAAATTCATCCTTGAAAGGTTTTCCCCAGAAGGATTCCCCTCCTGGGAATGGAGGAAGTGGGTGAGAGAGGAAGGAAAGGCACAAAGAGAGAGAGACACAGGGGATCTGATTATTATTGCAGGTAATACTGCTGACAGACAACAATATCCTAAAAAATATCGAGGGTATGTTTTCATGACCCACTGAAGCAGAAAAACCCGCAAAATTTGTCTTGTTTTAAATTTCAGCAGTGCTTATTGCTTAAGCTTCAGATGCACAGGTAAAGTTGTGATGCGTTTCTGAACGTTTGTTCAATCTACAGACCCTTTTCACAACAGACGTTTTTTCAAAAGCACCGGTGTAATTCATTACATAAACGATGGCTGTAGTCCATTTTGGTGTGCAGGTTTCAGGCCCCTGTTGTAAAGCATTCTTGCTCAATGGCTTTGCTTACTGAGACACTTAAACAGAGCAGTCATAATGTTATCGGTTACACCTGGACTTTCCCCGTTATGACAAGTCAAAATGTCAGCTGTGGAAAAAGTCTATTGGGTTGTCTCAATACAGCCAGTTCAAATTTCAGAATAATATAAGATATAGGGTTCACACAGTTAAAAAAATATTCTCTTGGGCAAAAACAGTGTATTGAAGTTAAAGCATTTCTCAGTCTTATATAAACAGATCTTACAATTTAGATAAAACTAAATGTCGGCAATAAAGGCACCCTGGGAAGTTTTTGACCACTCATGACACTACGGATACTGTAAACAATGCAGGTTTAAAAACCAAAACACTCAGCTTTGCAAATGTTTAACATGTCAAGCAGCGAGGAAACACAATCTGTTTTGTGAGAAACATGGAAGATAAAAATAACCAGTGTTCCTTCAATTTATAAACAAAAGCATCCTTGTTAGAAAAAAAAAGTAAATGTTAACCTTGTTTGTACAAACTTTTGTCACTTGTTGTCCATGAAACTCAAATCATCTCAAAACTAAATTGAATGTTGCTGGTAGTATCAGTTCAGTCATTTAATTGCAACATTGGGATTTAATGTATGTAAAAGCAAATGAGCACACTTTAGGGAGTAAAACCGATACGATTGAGCTCATGCAGTGTTTAATTTTCAGCTCCATAATGCGCAATGTTACATTTTATACTGTGAAATATGAGTAAACTAGTATCTGACACTAATGACTGGCTCTATCCACACTATTTATTCAAATTACTGCACCACTAAAGAAACACAAATAAGGCACAAAATATTTTCATTAGATACAAAAGACCTGTTTGCCCTTGAACATGGAGCCATGTTGAGAGCCTTCAGCTGTGAATCATTATTGAGACTGACTTCATCATTAAGAATCATCATGATGAGCATACAGGAATACACACTGCAGGAGCTTATTGGCTCCCAACAGGGGGAGAGGATCTGTCGCCCTGAGGTGTGTTTCACTATCCTGCATCCTGCCAGCTGGTGTACGTGCATGAAACCGTGTGTGCATATATAGGTACAGTAAGTACCGTATGTGTGTGTTTATGCTGGAGTGTAAACGCATACTCAAAGGCTTGATACAGCCGTCAACTTCCCCTGTGACATTTCTGCATAATTTATCAACTCGCTGACATTTTACCGACTGGATCATAAATGAAGGGAGAGCAAGAGAGGAGGACGAGGAGAGAAATTCATTCTCACAAAAGAGTTAACCAATAAATCCAACTGCATTTCCTGCGATGTTTGAAAGTTTCCCTGAATTAAATCAACAGCACAACCTCAAACTTACTAAACCGGTTTAATAGGAAAGAAAGCAGGAAATAAAATATCCTCCACTGAGTGACAACTGTGAAGAATCTCCACTAATGAAAGCATTATTTGGGCATTACAAAATACAGGAGCATGTGCTTCCTGTTTCATATTTTGAATACATGTCTGGGATTTCATTTCATCTTTCTCCAAAGCATCTGGTTCTGAAGGGTTTTATATAAATGAGGCTCTTCTGAACTTGTGGAACGTGGTAATGCTACAGTGAGCAGTTTGACGGATGTGTCTCTTTCCAATTCATGTACATGCAATGAAAGAGAGGGATTTACTCAAAATGTATGGCCAATTTTTGTAGGATTTTCTTGACACTTAAATCTCAAAATCCAAGTGTCAAGAAATGTACCATATCAAGGTTCAATATCTTATTTTGCCATCTCTACCCCCTACACAAAAACTGAACAAGAGAGCACGTTACAGCTTTCTTACCTCTTCAAAAGAATATCAAACAAGAAATCAAAAGACGACAATTGTCACCCCTGCTCTGGTCTGACAAGTTTAAAAACAAACATGTCAAACAAAAAAAAAGGAAAACAATGGAAAAGGGTGTTCTTAATGATACACAAAATTAAATGCTAGTAACTACACAAGCACTGCATGCTGCAGGACTGTTAGACACTTAGTAAAACTGCACCTTTAAAAGCCAGTTAGAGGTCTGCTCGTGAGCACACTTTGTTCAGTCCAGGTGATGAGGAGGATTTTTACCCACAGGCCAGGAATTCTGCACCTTCATAAATCTGTCATGGAGGACGTGTTTTGCGTAGTGTTCGGAGACGCCCACAGACACAGAGCACACTTTGTGCTGCAAACTCTCAGAGCAGCACAGACGACATGAAGGGAGGAAATTAACTGTATGAGGCCTAGCAGTCAATTACACTGAGCTGCCTCTTCAAAACAGGAAAATTACACAAAATGCCGGTTGACTGGTTGTTCACCGCACCCTCACTCAGCCCTCCTCTCATCTACATCATTTCTCTTTCTATTTGTGCGTGTGTGTGTATACACAAGTGTCTTCTGTGCTCCCATGTGCCTTCACAGAGTATATTTAGTAACACTCTTGACTTGCATCTTGAGATGCAAGCTGTATTTACGCAAAGCTTCCAAAAAGGAACTATTAATAATTCATCAGAGAGGTGTTATGTAATTCAAAATGCGGTTAAAGTGCAGTGCTCATCTTACCTGTGCCAGTGCCAGTGGGGTCCCCTCCTTGAATCTGGAAACAAACAAAGTCTGTTAAGTTTGACTGACCTTAGCTGCAAAGTCAAATACTTAGAATAAGAAAATGTCTAATTTATGTAAAGTGGTCAAATGAGACTCATTAACCACGGACAAAGATTTCAGAATACAGGCCTGTATTGTTCATTGTTGAGGCTCAACTTTGGTATTATTGTTTATACACTAGAGTATAACACATACACTGCATGTGCATTTCTTTAGACTTGTTGTTTAACGATACACTGGGGGGTTGTGACCACTAGTGCTGATATGGAGCAAAGATGTGATGAGTGGGTCCCTGTACTGTTTGTGTACAACAATGCACATGGACACCATGAGGAAAGATGGAAAGGGAAAATGTTTATTTCTTCTACTTTTTGGCTTGAAAATGTCACATTGCCACATTCTACAACAATACTGACACACAGAGTGGCAACAACAATGAATGGAGAAAGCAAAAAGCTAAAAAACTAAAATATGTAAATAACAGTCAAACTCTTCATCTAAGACATGGCTGACATTAGAGAGAGGATGTAGTGCAATTGTGGCACAGCTTTCATTGGACTAGTTAAGTCAAGTCAGGTATAGTTAATTCACTTCTTCATAGCACAAATGGCCCTAAAAACTGTTTGGGACAATTCCATATAGTATACTGTAGCTAGTTGTACTGAATGAAACATTTTCTTTTTCTTGTATTTTCAGCTTTATTGGACTGATGTAGAAGGAAGAGGCGGAAAACGGGGGAGCATGACATGCAAGGCCACTGGCTAGAATTTAACAGGTCATTTGGCTATGAAAGCTCTGGTGAATTTAACATTTTCAAGTAAAAATTGAGTTTGAAATAATGCCTAAATCATGGGTAAAACTACAAAGGAAGACTGCAAAATGATGTAAACACGGAAGATAACCAATACACATTTTAAAACATGCATAAACATTTTTGATTAATGAATGAGTAAAGAAATTTATCCAACATGTTTGCTGGATTAAGGTTATATACACACATATAAAGGTGTTTGGTTAAGAATTTTGAATGTGAAATATTTACTATAAAAACTCTACAGCCTACCATCAATAAGGCTTGATGGTCATTGCAAAATGATAAGCTCTCAGATTTACAACACTTCTAGATCTGTGTATATAGTTTAGTTTCACATAATTCAACGGCTAAAAACGTCTAGTTCACTTCCATGTCACTCTACATCACCAGCAAAAATGTGCTTTTGATGATATTTTAAATTTGTTTTAGCAAACACTAATCAAAGCCTATATATGCCCTTTTGTTCTTTGACTGAATGGAGACAGCAGATTCATAGAAACTGCACGGTTGCAATGTAATGTTTAAAAGTCCCAGGTACCTAAGCAGACTCGCATGTAAAACACCTGCACCATTTCACCGTTAAACAACTCTTCTCACTGTTTGAGCCTGAAGGCTACTCGCAGCCTTGTGGGGGTCAAAGTGAAACTATCAAATTCTTAGAAGTGTCATCTCAGGATGGTCAGTACACTCGCAAGGTCCTGATAAACTGCTTTAAGGGAAGCAAGGTTCCACATTTCTGTTCCCATTAACAAACTGCTTTAAAGGTGTTTGTTGCTACAAAATGATTCTCTTCAAGCCCCCCGCCCTTTCAGCTGTGGAGGATAAGTAGAAAGTGGCACAGTAATTATGAATAAACAATTCACAGCTCGCCACTGTGTATGAAAACTACGGGACAGAATGAAAAAGATAAGGGTCCTCTTGAGACCAGATGTCCACTCAGTCACTATACTTATGGGAGCGGCAGCTCTGAAATAAACAGATGAGCGGCTGATCAGAGACCTGTCATTTCAAATTCTCAGTCTGGGTTAAGAAGCTTCAGTTGTAAAGTAGGAAGAAAAAAGCTGTGTTTACTCATCTGCATCAACTGCAATTCACAGGGAAAACATAAAAAATATCTCTCTAAATTTGGAAATCTTTGTCAGCCTGTGCTCAATGAAGCAATCAAAGCCAAAGGTGGTACTTTGTTTTGGTGTATTTTTGAAGTACACTATTGGCTGTAGTGTTGTTAAGTAACCACAAAAGAGCACCTTTATCTGGTCGAAGTCCTTACCATAAAATTACGGATGGACCTGTGGAAGACAGTCCCATCATAGTAGCCTTTTTTACACAGACGGGTGAAATTCTCTCCAGCTTTGGGAACCTGGAGGACAGAAGATGCAGAAATAGTTTAAAAACAACACCCACAATAGATATAATTTCATATAAATATATATATTTATGAATATAATTTCAGTTCAATTCAGTTTCCCAGTTTTGACATACTGAATGTGCTAGCTGTCCACAGCTAATAATATCAGCTGCTCTATAAGCGTATTGTTAGTGGAATCAGTGATGAGTGTTAAAATGAGTAAGAATGCAGTGAAAATACAGGTTAAACATATAGACAGTGTGTGAAATCACAGCTGAGCCTTCTGAAAGTTCTGTGTTGTGTGCCAAAAAAATCAAATGTCTGTGATAGGAGGAGATCTTTTGATAAACCCAGTAACATATCCACACACTCAACCTTTTTAACACTTAGATCAACTAGATGGTGAATGTCAATACCTGTCTGATGCCACATCCTATCAGCTATAACACTATGAGCAATGACAGGTGAAGTGAATAAGACTGATCTTGTTATCATGGCACCTGTCAGTGGGTGGGATGTATCAGGCAGCAAGTGAACATTTTCTACTCAAAGTTGATGTGTTAGAAACAGGAAAAATGGGCAGCGTGAGGATTTAAGTGACATTTTGACGAGGGCCAAATTGTGATAGCTAGACGTGGAGAGTGAAGGCTGGCCGGTGTGGTCCGATCTAACAGATGAGCTACTGTAGCTCAAACTGCTAAAAAAAAGTTCATGCTGGTTCTGATAGAAAGGAGTCAGAACACACAGTGTGCATCACAGTTTGTTGCGTATGGGGCTGCATAACATTATGACCACTAGGGTGCCCAGGTGGTCATAATGTTATGGCTGATCAGTGTACGTGTGTGTGTGTATTTACACATGTTAAATGCTTCAGATCATTTATTTTCATATAAAGCTTGTCCAAGCAACAGAACTTTTCTGAAATATTATTTTATACTTGTGAAAGTAGAGAGATGACAGGAAAAATAAGGGGAGAGAGATGGGGATGTGTTAATGGTCGGTACCCTAACCCCGTGGCCCTGTGCAGAGCTGCCTCTCACGGTTTCGCCATGTGACACACGATTTTGCCTGTTTCCACACGCACTCACGACCACACATCCAATTTATCAGCAAAAAAATGTTCTTTTTGGGTGAGAATTCCGATCTTGGGCTGAGACTGTTCGTGTTTTTTAAACCTCCCAGAACGGTAAACCGCTGCACCATATTGACTACAGTCTAGTGCCCCGGCCGAAGTTTAGCGACAGAAGAAAGATGCGAGAAAGGACAGCGGAACAACTACCTCGAGACAGAGCTGCCAACTCTCAAGGTTTCGCGTGTGGACAACACGATTTTGGGCATAATTGGGTCACCCCTGACAGAATCTCACTCCAAGGTTTTTTGAAAAGTTGGCAGGTATGCCTGTGGTATTGAAGCAGAAGATGCAGTTACAGCCCCACCGAAAGCTCCCAGGTGACTGTGAACAACACGTTCTGCACCTGTGAAAACTTCCCTGAAACTCCTCATCTCTCCGAGCCCTTAAACAAAAGACTCATCTCATTCAGTTCATCCATTTTACTCTCTTCATCCATCTCTTTTTCTCACTTCTTCCATGTCTGGGTACAGCACAACCCTCTGTTCATCACTAGGTAGTCAGTGCCAGAGCCACTGCTCATTACAGCCCCACATCTGCACTCAATGACAGGCCACGCTCTGCATGAATAACGGCAGTGTTGCAGACATGAGCGAAATGTCAGTGGAAGGCTTCATTACTGGTGGGCAGAGAAGTGTGTGTGTGTTTGTGTGTCTGGTAGGCCTCTCTTCAGGTCCTCGTCGCTCTAGTGCAAAGGCTGGGGGTAACCTAGCTTAACCTATGACCCTGCTCTTCCCCCTGTGTGACCCTGCCCCTTGCCCCCGCCTGAACCCCTTTTACCCCCTCTGCCCCCTCGGCTTCTGGCAGAGATGGATGAGAAGGATGCAGACAAGAGATCACACGCATTCTGCACCCCGCCTCAATGAAAACAAAGCGTGCGGCATTTAAGGAAGACTGGAAGACCGAAGCTTTAATCTGACAGGATGACAGGCCACAGTGGCCTCAGACGGACCTGGGGAACAGCTGAGGAACACAGTGGTACCACACACAGAGGGGAAAGAGGAAGGTGGGGGGTAAGTGAGCTCAGATAGAGACGTTTTCCTGCATTCCTCCTGTTGTCCAAGTGATCTGTAAATATTTGTCAACGGCCCGCAACATGCTTTACCTTTCCCTACTGTTTCTGCTGAATGGGCCACATATCAGAGATGCCTGTCTAAGCGTCATGACCTGTAGTGTCTGAGGTGGCAGCCCGAGAGCCTTTATTGCAGTGTTTGGTTTCCCCAAAAAACACCTCCGGCTGCTTGTTTGCCCTTCAAGTAAAGAAGTAAAACATGGCCTTTCACTTTTACAACATAAAATTGTGGGAATAATGGAATGGAGGCGGAGGAGGATGTGGAGTGGTGACCCGCCTGTCAGGACGTCTAAACAAAGAGGGAGTGGAGGGTCAATCAGACAGACGAGACCTGATAAGCCTGGTCCAGGCCTCCGTTAGCCACTGTTTACTCTGCAGACATACCACTGACCCACAGTCACTTCCTTTCAAGTTGGTCTCATGGATGGAGAGGGATGAAATGGAGAAGGGGCGGAAAAGGAAAGGATGGTGTTGGGCACAGGTTGCACTGGAGAAAACTTGGACTCAAAAACACAATGAAGCAGGGAAAGTATTGCGTTTCTAGACAGTGCTTTGACTTAAACTGCTCTGGGTGTTGATAGGGTCATAAGTTGAAGAAAGAATGAGATTTCACATACTGAACACAAGAAATCAAGAAAGAGAAAAAAAAGGGATGGAGAGAGAAGTACAAAAAAGGAAACAAAACGAGAGTCGAATCCAGCAGCAGCTGAGCGTCGGTTTCACTAGCGGGATCTGGAAAGGTGATGTAATTTAGAGAGAATGGTTGCGGTTGCCTGTACAGAGAGAGGTTTACTGGCCCCAGGCTGGCCGTCTAGAGGGCACACACATCTCCTTGCAGACACTGGGAAACACAGGGCCATAAAACCGAACGAGCTCATGTGTGGAGCACCTCATAAATTAGGCCAAATAGCTATGAAATAATACCCCAAAACATCCATATTAGAGAGAAATTGTAAACATTTTTTATGTCACTTTGAGTAAGAACCTGGCAGCCTCTTGACTTTATCAGCTTTCTTGATGATTATTTTAGGGGGAGGGTCCCAAGAAAACTATTTGGTCTTTCCTCTCCTCTGCTCTCCCGGGATTTAGATCATGACTCAAATGAGTCTCCTCATTCTGTTTTAACGATTACCGCCACACACAAAAACCAAACCACATTTATCACTAAAGAAGGTATTTTCCAATATATATTTTCTTCTCTCATCATGGGGTGGGGTGGGGAGGGGGGCGCTGAGACTCCTCTCATCCCTGATAACATATTATCTATTGGCCTAAGACGTTGACAGGAAACAAATTCCCAGAGATGACAAAAGCCTGGAATGCGATACAAGGAGGTTGTCTCCCACACTCCCTCAGAGAAACATCCCCCAAAGCTACCCCCTTGACACTCCCCCATCCCCTTCCCTCTGAAGGATGTTTTTGTTGGGTAATTGATGCAAAGGTGCTATTGATAAGAAAGAATGAAACATCAAACCACCTCACAGAGAAGTAGACAGGTTGGGAGGGGGGGTTCAGCAGTTGAATCAAACGTCTTGAGAACACCACCAAAGGGAGGATTAATCAGTCTTTCTTCCCCATTTCTGTTCTCACGTTTTCTGTTTTCCTTTCCTCCAACCCCTCCCCCAATTAGTGTGGTTTTCATCCCTCAATGTGTGTGTGCATCCACAATTGTGTGTATGGGTGCGTGTGAGTCTGTGCACTCATAAAATTTCAGAAAATGAGGGCACAAAGTCTGAAATGACGTGTTACAGACGGTGTATTTCTCTACCACAAATTAGATTATGTGACATCTTGTGTTCATCACATTAATGGTTACCTAATGGTTAAGGTTAATGTGAGGTTTAGGCAGGCAAAGGTTTGGTTAAGGTTAAGAAACTAAAACTGTTCTGTGTATAGTTTAGGTTTATGGTTGTGGTTAGGGTTTTAAAGCCTTTGGTCATGGTTAAATAAGAAATACTTACCACAACAACATTTTTGTGTCTACCTTGTGTCTGTTTCTAGTCATGCCTCTATTATGTCATCTTTTCATGCATTCTCTCACTTTTGTGCTCATATAATAAAATGTTTTTATGTTTATATGTGTGGTTTGCTGGTGTGTGTTAATAAATGAGACGAAGAAAGGGGGCCGATCACTTATATAAGAGGTTCAAAACACCCAAAATCTTAAAACCGTTCCACCTGGACTTTTGAAGGCCCATGCTGGACAGACTTTGGCCTCTTTGTAGCAGACTGATGTCATAGGTCGAATTCCTGTGCAGAAGTAGGCCAGGGCCCTGTATGATAGCAGATTGCTGACTAATCATAGAAAACCAGCCAGGGAGGAGACAATGCTCAAGCTCAAAGGAGCTTTGTATTGACAGCAACTCACCGAGTGCCTCAATACCACTGGGGCCTCAGCAACGGACGGTCCCCGTCCAGAGAGGCTGATGCTCTTCGAAGCAGTCTACAAGTGGCTTTATCAACTAATGTGTTTGATGTAAAGGGAGTGTTTGTGTGTGTTTTTGCTACTCCTGCTGGAGCATGCAGTTTCTTATCTGGCCCTTGTATCTAAGAATCTGTTGGCCGACTAAAGTCCGAGGTAGGTGCAGAGTGAAGCCAGTATAGATTCTGTTTATTGTTCCGCTACTGAGCAGATCTCTCATTGTGGCCTCTTAGAGAGTGGAGATGCCTTTCCATTGTGAGAGGGGGAGAAGAGAAAAACAACAACAACAAAAGGAAGGGGGTAGGGGACTGTCTGCTTATTGTGTGTGCATTGTGTGTGAGTGCATGTGTGTATGTGTGTGTTGCAGACATGTTGTGTAAGGCTGAAGTCGCCCAGAGGGGGATTTGGGCTCGCCTGCTCTTAGGGCTGGGCATGTTCCTCGAATGCCGACCCTGGAATTCCATGGCCCTGGGTCAGGACTTTTATTTACAATCCCACCTTACACTATTCCCCAAAACACATACACACACATATCATTGCTCATCTGCTGGCCAGGAGAGAGAAATAGCTTCTGTAGCTGAAGTATCTACTCATATGCTGAGGCTGGTTAAAAATAATTTGCTGCCAGCAACAACTTAAAGCAGTGCAAGTTCTTTCATGCAAATGATGGTGTCAAGGGTCAGTTTGCACACAAAAATGTAAGAAATGTGGATTTTTCAGAATCTATAGCATGCCTAAGGGCTAAAAAGCCTCAGTGATGTCTGCTGCAAACTTCAGACTGAGGCTTGCAATTAACTCTAAAAGCAGTAAATTCTGCTGTGTTTGCACAGGCAAAACGTGAGGGTTATGACCTAAAAGAAGCTATGTAACCATGCAAATGGTTGAAGATGCATGAAACTCCTCACAGTTATACTACGTTTAGTATAACATCATCCTATATATTTACTTAGGCTACTTTATATATAGATAAATATAAAATATTTACTTATATTTTTATCTTGCGCAGGGCACAAATGGCATCGAACTAACTAACTAACTAACCATCCATATGCACCAAGACAAATTCCTCGTAGGTGTAAAAACCTACTTGGCAATAAATCTAATT